CTGTCCGCCCCCGGCCCCGTGTACCCGGCAGTGCAGGGCAGAACCCCCGGCTGGATCAGGCCCTCAATGGCGGGCGCAGGCCTCAGAGTCGGGGAGCGGGCTCGCGGAGCTCCAGAAAACCATTTGAAAAACCTAGCCTTAAGATTTTGGATTAACCTAATTATTTGATTCAGTGCAGAAGGACATTTTGGCAAAGAAGTCACAATGTACACTGAGCCTTTGCCTGTCACAGCTTGGTCTGCCAGGTCAGAAATTGTACATCGGGCAGTTAAGAACTTGCAGCAAGGCCCTTCTGTGTGCAAGTGGTCATCATCAGCTGCAGGTTTTATCCTTAATCTTAAAAATTTGGGAAGCTCCTTCAGAGGGACTCAGACAATTGTCTTAAGCACAATAGTAAGAGCAACATCCATATGAGTGTGTGACAACTACTACTGCCAGTGTGTATTTCTCGAAAGCACCGATGTGGAAATTTCCCTTGGCATATGGAGGGGCAAAGGACAGAGCTGTATGAAGGTGTGTGAATTACAGACAAGTCCTAGAACAGCAGCAAGTGGACGTGTGACAAAGGGGCTGTTCTGGATGAGTGAGCAGGGGAATGGTGTGTCTCCACGTAAGGCACTGAACACAAGGGGCTTTTCAGTCTGGCAGGAGAAACGCACACTTCTGCAGCTACCTCACTGGTGACATGGGGACTGTAGCTGTGACCCTCTGCAGGCCCCGCTGTCTCACAATGGTTTCTTAAGTAGGTCTAAGTATGATTTTTTCAAAAAATATGCAGGTAGATGGAGAAGTTGTCTATTTATGGAGACTAAAGACAGCCTGTTCTTGTCTTTTGAATTTCTATTTCAGTACATTTTTTCTGTATACTTGTTGCTTGGTTTCTTTCTGCATTCTGTTGCAATTAACCGTTCTGTATGACCACCACAAAGTTCCATAACTATTACACAACCCATTTAAAAATTCACTTTTAAGGTTGGTTTGTAATCACCTTGTATTGCTGAGCAGAAAAATAGTTAAAACTAAGATCAAAAAAGACACGCTTGCTGTAAGGAAGCTTTAGCACCACCAGTGTATCCATATAACACTGAGACCTTTTCACTCCAGTGCACAAGCCTCCATTCTAGAGTTAGAAAAAGGAAGAAAAAAAAAAAAGCAACTTCACTTCTTCAGGCTGTCTTCTCTTGGGAGCTTCTCCATGCCCTTTTGTCCTTGGTACCTCTGTGATCTGGTGGCCGGTACCGTACACGGTGTTCTCCATCAGGCCACACTATTGATTTATACGGCGGTATTTTAGTACGGCCTGCATTGTGAAATGTCTCTGGCAGCCTAGATGTTCCGGTTTCATGCCACGGTTATACATGCAGTAGAGTCTTCATTAAGCTATTTATAGTGCTGAACAAGTCCTTTTTCTTGTCTTCCTAAAATTAATTTAAAAGTCTGCCGGAGAAGTGCCAGCGGCGCTGCCCAGCACCCACAGGCTGCCGTGTCGCCGGAGCCAGCGCCTCCCCTGAGACCTCACAGCCTTCTCGGGGTGGGGGACACATCCCATTATTTCTGATTTGTAGCAGATTTTGCTATTCGGGAGCACGCTCCGCTTCTTTGAATCTCTCTGAAGTTCCCAAAAGCCCTCCAGGATTGAATCAGATGATTTTGTGTCAGGAGCAGTTCTTATGGTCTGACTCCTCACGTCTCTTTCTGCACGGTGGCTAAGTGTATTAAATGTGCGTGCTTTAACTTCATGCCTTCATGAAAATCAGCTGATAGGCTACTCTTTAGTGTGTTCCTCAGCCAGGCGTGATCCTTGGCAGGCCTGGCCTCTCTCCCAGGACTGCATGTTTTCTTCAGCAGCTTTGGGTGCTCCCGTGGTGATCCCAGGTGTTTTGGAAGGGTCTTCTCCCCAGCTTGTGGCAGCTCTGTGCCCTTGGTGGTGTTTGCACAAAGCAGCTTCCGTATGTGCTGTTTGGGTTCATTCAATCTTGAAAATGAGATCTTTTAACTCTCAAATAAATGCGTCGTTGTATGGAGTTATTCAGGAGTAGCTGTTATGTCAACTCGGGGGGGAGCTTAGAGGGGCTGCGGGAGAGATGAGGAGGGACTCTGTCAGGGAGTGTAGCAACAGGACGAGGGGGAAGAGTTTTAAATCCAAAAGAAGGTAGGATTTAGATTAGATATTATAGAGAAATTCTTTGCTGTGAGGGTGATGAGACCCAGGTTGCCCAGAGAAGCTGTGAAGAGTTTTAAATCCAAAAGAAGGTAGGATTTAGATTAGATATTATAGAGAAATTCTTTGCTGTGAGGGTGATGAGACCCAGGTTGCCCAGAGAAGCTGTGGCAGCCCCATCCCTGGAGGGGTTCAAGGCCAGGCTGGATGGGGGCTTGGAGCAACCTGCTCTGGTGGGAGATGTCCCTGCCCAGGGCAGGGGGTTAGAACTCGATCTTTAAGGTCTCTTCCAACCCAAACCACTCTATAACGAAAAAAACATATTTTTCCACAAATCTTTATTCCTCCCCGCCTTAGTTACGGCGGGTGTGCGAGGCTGGGGAGTAACCCCCAGCGCCAGGAACGGCCACCCAGTAAATGGCGGCGGGTTGTGAGGGGACCCGGCGCGCGGGCGGGGCGGACCGGGCCGGGGCGGGGCGGCGGCGGGCGGAAGGCGGCGGGGCCGGGCGGGGAAGATGGCAGAGCCCGAGGCGCAGCTGCTGCAGGCGGTGGGGCTGATCGGTGAGGGCCCCCCCCGGGCCTGGGGAAGGGATGGGGTGCTGGGGCCGGGGGGGCCGTTGAGGGGGCCAGGCCGGGGCTCGGGGCCGGCGGGAGGGGGGGCCCCGGTGGCGGCGCCCCGCTGAGCCGTGGCTGTGGGGCCTGTCCCCGGCCGTTGTGCCAAGGGGTGGCTCGGTCTGCCTGGTACAGACCGAAACCGGGCACGACTCGGCCAAAACGGCTTAAATGCACGTCTTCCGAGATTTCCGTTATGAAATAAGAAATAGGAAACCAGGGAAAATCATAAATAATGATCTGGGTAATTGCAAATGGTTGGGGTGCTTGTTGATCAGTACCTTGCTCATATGAACGTGTGTTCAAACTCGTAGTACTTTTTTGCCCTCGTGAAGCAGGTCTAGAGTGGATATTTATTAACGTTAAAATAAATGAAACCTGTAAAACAAGTGCTGCCCTACAGCTTAAGCCGTATCTGCAGAACTGGGTGTTTAGGGTCAGAGTAAGGTGGAATTTTAATCTGATTCCAGGAAACAAACCTGATTAACCCATCAATTTACCTCCTTGCTGCTGTTTGGCATTCTCACAGTGAACATCTTTCCACCATAGAAAAAGACACCAACGGAGATGCTTTGTGGGTTTGGTGTTATCCGTCCGTAACAGCTGAACTGAGGAGTCTGTTGCTGCGAAAATGCTGCCTTACAGATGAAAATAAACTGCTTCACACGTTTGTGTTTGGCCAGTATAAAAAGTCATGGTTCTACATCACAACTGTGGAAGTTCAAGATTCTCCAGCTTTGAAAAAGGTAGGACTCATCACATTGGGGAGAATTGGGTACCTGCATTGGTAGAATGCTGAGAGAAGGGGAAGGGGCTCTAGGTTTTGTGTGCTCACAAATGCAGTTGCATTCCCACAGCAGAATGTTGCCTGCCTTTCCTCACTTGCATCTCCTATGAAACTTAAAGGTGTAAATAAATAAAAATAATGTGTCCCAGTGCTGTCTCCGACGGTGGCGGTGGGAGATGCTATTTAAGGAAGACACATGAGCCTGGTCATTGTCTGCAGACTTTTGGTGTCATACTGTCCCAGCCCACAGTCATTCGATTAAGGAAGTTAAAGAGGTTTCTCTTTGTGGGCCTGCGATCTCTGCATTTTTTTCCAGCCTCTTTCAAAATGCATTGATGCTGTCTGCCTCCACAGGCTCCTTTGGCAACAAATTCTGAAAGTATCCTATCGGCAGTGGGGAAAAAAAGATGCCTTTCTTTATTTTAAAATAATCTCATGAGATTAAAGGAAAGCAATTCCTATAGAGTAGGTTAAGCAAAAGACAGTAGGTGATAGATCTGGCTCAGTGGAAATGAGTCACATCAGAAATTCGTTAACCAGACCTTTTCTGCAGTTAATAACTTGGATCTGCTGCTATGGCTTATTGTTTTCTTAATTGAAACACCTCGTCAGAGGACTGCAGTAAATTCAATAATGTGAAAAAGACTGTTCATATGGGGTCATTAAATAAACTGTGTATTTTTCTCTGTGTGTGTGTCTTACCCAGGTGACCCACTTCTCCATTGTTCTGACGGCCAAAGACTTCAACCCAGAGAAATACGCAGCATTCACTAGGATACTTCGATCTTTAAGGTCTCTTCCAACCCAAACCACTCTATAACGAAAAAAACATATTTTTCCACAAATCTTTATTCCTCCCCGCCTTAGTTACGGCGGGTGTGCGAGGCTGGGGAGTAACCCCCAGCGCCAGGCCCGGCCACCCAGTAAATGGCGGCGGGTTGTGAGGGGACCCGGCGCGCGGGCGGGGCGGACCGGGCCGGGGCGGGGCGGCGGCGGGCGGAAGGCGGCGGGGCCGGGCGGGGAAGATGGCAGAGCCCGAGGCGCAGCTGCTGCAGGCGGTGGGGCTGATCGGTGAGGGCCCCCCCCGGGCCTGGGGAAGGGATGGGGTGCTGGGGTGGGGAGGGGACGTTGAGGGGGCCAGGCCGGGGCTCGGGGCCGGCGGGAGGGGGGGCCCCGGTGGCGGCGCCCCGCTGAGCCGCGGCTGTGGGGCCTGTCCCCGGCCGTTGTGCCAAGGGGTGGCTCGGTCTGCCTGGTACAGACCGAAACCGGGCACGACTCGGCCAAAACGGCTTAAATGCACGTCTTCCGAGATTTCCGTTATGAAATAAGAAATAGGAAACCAGGGAAAATCATAAATAATGATCTGGGTAATTGCAAATGGTTGGGGTGCTTGTTGATCAGTACCTTGCTCATATGAACGTGTGTTCAAACTCGTAGTACTTTTTTGCCCTCGTGAAGCAGGTCTAGAGTGGATATTTATTAACGTTAAAATAAATGAAACCTGTAAAACAAGTGCTGCCCTACAGCTTAAGCCGTATCTGCAGAACTGGGTGTTTAGGGTCAGAGTAAGGTGGAATTTTAATCTGATTCCAGGAAACAAACCTGATTAACCCATCAATTTACCTCCTTGCTGCTGTTTGGCATTCTCACAGTGAACATCTTTCCACCATAGAAAAAGACACCAACGGAGATGCTTTGTGGGTTTGGTGTTATCCGTCCGTAACAGCTGAACTGAGGAGTCTGTTGCTGCGAAAATGCTGCCTTACAGATGAAAATAAACTGCTTCACACGTTTGTGTTTGGCCAGTATAAAAAGTCATGGTTCTACATCACAACTGTGGAAGTTCAAGATTCTCCAGCTTTGAAAAAGGTAGGACTCATCACATTGGGGAGAATTGGGTACCTGCATTGGTAGAATGCTGAGAGAAGGGGAAGGGGCTCTAGGTTTTGTGTGCTCACAAATGCAGTTGCATTCCCACAGCAGAATGTTGCCTGCCTTTCCTCACTTGCATCTCCTATGAAACTTAAAGGTGTAAATAAATAAAAATAATGTGTCCCAGTGCTGTCTCCGACGGTGGCGGTGGGAGATGCTATTTAAGGAAGACACATGAGCCTGGTCATTGTCTGCAGACTTTTGGTGTCATACTGTCCCAGCCCACAGTCATTCGATTAAGGAAGTTAAAGAGGTTTCTCTTTGTGGGCCTGCGATCTCTGCATTTTTTTCCAGCCTCTTTCAAAATGCATTGATGCTGTCTGCCTCCACAGGCTCCTTTGGCAACAAATTCTGAAAGTATCCTATCGGCAGTGGGGAAAAAAAGATGCCTTTCTTTATTTTAAAATAATCTCATGAGATTAAAGGAAAGCAATTCCTATAGAGTAGGTTAAGCGAAAGACAGTAGGTGATAGATCTGGCTCAGTGGAAATGAGTCACATCAGAAATTCGTTAACCAGACCTTTTCTGCAGTTAATAACTTGGATCTGCTGCTATGGCTTATTGTTTTCTTAATTGAAACACCTCGTCAGAGGACTGCAGTAAATTCAATAATGTGAAAAAGACTGTTCATATGGGGTCATTAAATAAACTGTGTATTTTTCTCTGTGTGTGTGTCTTACCCAGGTGACCCACTTCTCCATTGTTCTGACGGCCAAAGACTTCAACCCAGAGAAATACGCAGCATTCACTAGGATACTGTGTAGGTCTGTATAAAAGCCATTTTGAGGTGCTGCTGTGTGCATGTTTAGATCTTGCCAAGGCAAAAGATTAAATTTCATTGTGTTGTGTTTGCGTTTGATCTAACAATCTGCTGGAAACTCAGTCCTACAAACTGTGAATCAGATGATCTAAATCCTTGATTTGAACTTACCTTGAGTTCATGCAGTAAGTGTTGGGTGGTCAGGTGCCCAGAAGATTTTAATGTGTCTTCTCCAGACACCACCACATCCCACGCACTTATTTTCTCTGAGAAAATATTTCTGAAAAGCATAAATATTTAGGAGGACGTCAGTGCTGTGTAGTCGAAGGTGGACATCTTTGTGCTATGTTTTTATGTTGTAAATGTTGGTTCTTTCATAAAAATGGAAACTTAAATAAAAATACAAGGTAGTTTTCTTATCCCAAAAGACATGTTTTTATGTGCATGGTGAAAGACTTCTTGTTTAGTATTTAAAACCTCAACCAGGTGTCCAAAATAAGAATTCCTGCCAATAATACTGCTATTTGTGATACTGTGATTAATTATGGTTTTTTTCCATATGCCTGCTGGGACTGGATGCAGTCTAAACACCAGACTCTCTTCTTTTCACACAGAATCTACTTGAAGCATGGAAGTCCAGTTAAAATGATGGAGAGTTACATTGCAGTCCTTACAAAGGGCATCTGCCAAAGTGAAGAGAATGGGTCTTTCCTCAGCAAGGATTTTGATGCCCGGAAGGCTTATCTTGCTGGTTCCATCAAAGGTTAGTTAATATCAGAAGTCGCTATTCTGATTTCTTCTGTACAATGTAAAACAGAATCCAGTTTTCATACATTCTTCAAGTAAATAGTGCTAACAGTATTATCTGTGCTGTTACTATTAAGCTTCTTGGAAAAATAAATCATATTAACAGCATGTATATCTTCTATAAAATATTTTTCCCCTCTTTTCTAGATATAGTATCCCAGTTTGGAATGGAAACTGTTATCCTATATACAGCACTGATGTTAAAGAAGAGAATTGTAGTGTACCATCCCAGAATAGAAGCTATCCAGGAGTTCACCAGGTACTTTGTCAGTCCCTACCTTCCCGCCCACCAAAGTCCAACAAATTTTGAACCTTCTTTGAGAGAAATGCCCATACTTAGGGGGGGAAAAATAATCTTAAACCTGTATGTTGAAATCCTGCTAAATCCCTCTTAAGGCTTTAGCCACATGTTACATCAACTTAGAGAAATTTAACTGTAGAATGAGTGGTAAACTCTGCTTGTACTTAGAGCAGAAATGTCTGCAGTTCACGTACATACATGCCAAATGAGACCTTGTCATTACTAGTTGTTTTTTTTTTTCTTATGACATGCATTTCATACTGTGAAACTTTAATTAGCACTAATCTACCATGTGTCAAATACCAATCTCATTTCCCTAGGACTTTGCCTGCTTTAGTGTGGCATCGACAAGACTGGTCAATTCTTCATTCGTATGTGCATCTAAATGAGGAGGAAGTGGAAGCCTTAAAAGCCTGCACAGGTAGGGATAATTTATTAATCAAAAATATAAAGCAAGTTTAATTTCAGTTTCTATTGCTGCAAGGTCTTGCACCAACCAGTGCTCTTTGGGAGAAAATAATGGTTACTTTGCTATGGTTAAAAGTTAAATGGCATCATTTTCTTTAGAAAAGGGAACTAAATAACTATGTCAGAAGATAACTGCTTCATCTGGTGTTTCCGGGTGTGTTTGCATCAGTCTCCTCCTAACTGCAGATGCAAAGCAGCTTTGAGACTTTTTTGATATTGTGATCAGAGGGACTGGAAGTTTTACTGTTGTATAGAAGCAGCTCATTTTAGATAAGCTACGTTTTTTTTCCTCAGTTTCTACCCTTGGCTAGTAACTGAATTTTTTTTTATTCAGTTCCTAACTCTGAAGGTCCAAATTTTTATGCTGCCTACTGCCAGTGAAGCCTCTGGCTCGTGATCACGAGTCCGATCTGTGTGACACATGGCTGTGTGTGCCTCGTACTTAACACAGGGTCCAGGAAGAGGCCCTTGGTGTATGCAAAGGTTGATGTGACTCATCGAGTGGCAATGGAGAGGCTGCTCTGTATGGAATGATGAGCAAGGAGACTACTCATCCTCAGTATTTCTGCCGCATCGCCGACACAGCTTGTTTGGTTCACTAAACATCTTCCACAGAGAAAAGCTGCTCTGAAGTTTGCTCACCTGGCGTGCTATAAATAATAAAATCTGCTGGTTTTATTCCTCCTTTCCAGGCTAATACTGACTTAGACAGTGACAAGGGGCTCCTGAGTGGAGATTCTTTTAAAGAGGAAGTTCAGTGCTTTTTCATTTGCAAATGAATAATTTTAGTAGCAAGGTAGAGAGTTTAAAATTTCAAATTCATAACCTGTTTGTATCACACATTGTGTTAGGGATTCATCCATGATCAAGGAAATTCTAGAAGCTGCTTTTTAAGCTCATCAGAAGCGGAACATTCTGCTGGACTCGCTCATCTGATGACTGATAAAGTCAAGAGAGCAATCTCTTGGATACGATGAGTATTGTCAAATACTCTTAGAACAGACTTTAGGACTGTGATTTTCTACGATATCTCAGTTTGGTTTCATTTATGAAGATCCTAATCTTGCCAACATTCTGCTCTCTAGGTTACATTGCTGGATTTACAGATTCTGAAGTGAGCAGCAGACCAGACCTCTATGACGTGTATGTGAACTTGGCAGACAGCGAGATCACTATTTCCCCTGTAGTAAAAGGTTGGTTGCTTTTTATATTTTGGATTTAGAGGCCATGTATTTGAGAGGTGATAGTAATTGCTGAAATCTTGCTGTAGGTCACGCAATCTTGATCCTTCTTCCATCCAGGTTCTAGGATTTTGCATGGCAGCCGTGAAGAGGACTCCTTGTTTTGGCTTGTTATTTATATGCATTTCTAGATATCACAGAAATGGTCATTTTACGGGAATGTGTGCTTTTTCTTTTTTTCTCTTACTCAGAGGCAATGACAATGGGAAAACTTCACAAAGAAATTGGACAACTAATTGTTCAATCTGCAGAAGATCCAGATAAATCAGACAGCCAAGTCATTAAGGTTAATATTTTGTTTTTAAATCTAGTTGAATGGCTTCTATTGCCAAACCTTGGTAGATGGGGGGGGAGTAGGAGGAAGATTATCTCTGAGAATCAGTCAATCTCTCTACAAATGAGCATTTTTATTCTTTGTACAGGTTTTTAAGGATGACATACTTGGTTTATATTATCTCATGGATAACCACATTGCTGAAGAAACTTTAGAAATTGTATTGATTATAAGGCTTCCAGTAAAATCAGTTTCCCGGTTTTATTCTACACAGCATGTATTTTGCTAAATACCTTCTCAATAATACTGTCAGTACCTTTAAAAAACTCCTACCAAGGAATGGCTTCTCAGTTGTAAAGCCTGATTTTTATGATGATGGGTTTTTTCACTTCCTCCCCTGTCTAATAAACTATTAGACATTTCATGACTGAGGGTGTCAGTGAAAAGAGCTCAGTGAGGGCAGAGAAAGGAGCCTGTGGAGTGGCTTTATTCAACATTGCCCAAGAGCAGGCTGAAGAGCTGTTGCAAGTTTACCTAAAAATGGGGTCTTTATTTAAAATGAAGAATTTATTTATAATTTTCTTTGTGTTGTATATTGTTTTTTTTTCTTTTTTTTTAAGTAAAAGCATGTTAAAATATTATAATATCTAATACTGTATTCATGGTTGCTTGTTTTTCTGTTCTTCAAGGATATTTCTCTGAAGACAAAAGAAATCTTGGCTACTTTAGCCTCGCTGACTGAAGTTTCCGATGGCAATGAAAAACCAACCCTTAACTCTGAAGCCCTGAAACAAAAGCGGTTTCCACCAGCTACAGAAAACTTCCTTTTTCATTTAGCAGCTGCTGAACAAATGCTCAAAATCTGATTTTGATGCACTGCAGTGTTGCGGACCAATTGAAAAATACTGTCTTTGCCATACAGCTAGGAATACCTGATATTTTATATGGAAAAATTAAAGGTTTAAGAGTGAATGTCAGATTTACCATGATATAGTGCAGAATATCAGAGCTTGAACTGGAACATACAGAGGTAATATTTGGGAACATTCCTGGTGTCCTTATCTTCCCCAACGATAACTTTGTATACGTGGCTCCCGAATTTCTTATTGCAACGTGGGTG